ATTAACATGATGATATTTTGTGAGGGTGGTCTGGCAGGGTGACAGACTACTAGAGTTTTCAAGTTCCGGAGAGTCAGATCGGGTACTGCAGCGGCAGAAGGGTCAGTCCTTCTTCGGGGCCATGAGTTTCTGTTGGGTTCAGGTGTATTTGAAAGAGGTTGTTGTTTGATATGAGGTCCTTTCGGTGGAGCTTCTCGGGTTATTGGGTTCGATCTATGTGTTGATAAGGAGCGATTTCGATGGCGAAATCTAATTCAAGTGGGGGAGAATTGTAACACCTTGTTTTGAATCGTCCGTGATTAGGTTTCGTGGGCTGCAAACCGAGCATGAGGAAGCCTCGGGGTTGAGACGAGTTGCTAGAAGCGTAGGGCATCTCGACTCCTTTTCGGGGGTATGAGGTTCATTAGAATCGGAGTTATATCGAGAAAGCTAGGGAAGTTTGAAGTTGTGGCAGGATGAGTCCCTTATTTTAGAAAGGTGATAGCTGAGTATGCTGGGCGTACATGTGAGTGCGCTTAGCGTACTCATGTGCATGAAATTAAAGCGGAGTCACCCAGTACGCTGGGCGTGCTAGGTCCAAAAGGAAACCCTAATATTTTGGAGTGCCCCTATTTAAGGAACATTATGTCCTCATATCCAGCCACCATTTCCAGATTTCAACTCTCTCAAAACCCTAATTCCCGTTCTTTGATCTTGAGTGTCTATTGTGAGCTTATAAGTATTCTTGTGGGATTTTTGGTAGTGAAGAAGGAGCATGGAAGAGAATAGAGTTGGAGTCCAGGCTTTGGATCTGAGCTTTTCTGTGGATGAAGCATCATCTGAAGGTATAAAGCTCAAAGCTTTCCCATCCTTTTGATTTGTGCATGTTATGGTCCATTTTAGGGTTTTTGGTCCCAAAGCTTGAAGCTTTATGAGTTGTTGCACTCCAGAGCCTAATGTTTGTCCTTTAGAATATTTCTAGTGGAGAGGATCCATAAAAATGAGGTCTTGGACGTTGGTATCAAGCCATACATGAGTTATGAGCTTTTTGAGATAAGAGAGTGAGTGTTTTGTGTGCTTGTGACCATATCAGCCATGCAAAGGCTTAAAGTCACTAACTTTATGGAGTAAGAGCTATTAGGGAGTCCAGATCTGAGAAATGAGCTAAGGTCTTAACGAGTTAAGACCAAGAGAATGGACTAAGCAAAACTGGGCGTACGCCCGACGTAATTCCAGTACGCCCCGCGTACTGGGTTGGTGTCCCTGATCAGATTCATGCATGCTAGTGTACGCTGAGCGTACCAAGGGAAGTACGCCCAGTGTAACCTCTCTGAGAGCTTTTTGGTCTGAATTTATTATTGGGCCTTAAGGGTTGGGCCTGGATCTTTGGGCTTGTGTATTAGTGACTTTGAGTAGAGAAATATTATATTGTGCTTTGGGCCCTTGAGTTGGGCTTGCCATTTAGATTGAGAATTGGGCCTTGGGAGAGCCCATTTATTATTGGTCCTTGGTGGGCCCAATGGGTTCTAGGTCATTGATGGGCTGGTTAGTGGACTACCTTTAGACCTAATGAGTGAGAGTATGGACTTAGTTTCTAATTGGGATAATTGTGGGTTTGGCACAGAGTTAGTGGCCGGTGCGTAGCAGCAGCGTTTATAGGGGTTGTTCATCATCCGAGGTGAGTCTTCTCACTATACTTACCATGAGTGGTATCCTTGTGTGACTGAAATGTTTTATGTGCTTATTTGTGTATTGTGATACTCTGCATTGTGTCTCTGTGATTTATGCCGAGTATTGTTATTATGAGCTTATTGGGTTAGGACCGGAGGGTCCACCTGAGTTCTGGGACCGGAGGGTCCCACTGAGACACATTGACCGGAGGGTCTTATCTGAGTATAGCCATGAGAGGCTACTGAGATGTGTGTGGTATTTTGGGGAACTCACTAAGCCTCGTGCTTACCGTGTTATGTGTTATGTGTTTCAGGTTTTCTCAGGATTGCGGGAAGGCACCGGCTCGATTGTACACACTAGAGAAAGAGTTATGTTTTGAGGATCCTGGATTATTAAACAAACAATTATGGAGATGAGTTTTGTAAAATAAATAAATGAGATTTTGTGAAATACGTTACGAGATTTATATGAATTTAAAATGAAAAATTTGTTTGGAAATTTACGGTGTTACAGTCGTCACCAGGCAGTTAGTTAACATGGGAATGATTCTCCCAGTTATAGGAGGCCACGTATCACACTCATTGGATGAGGTCCCCACGATCCATTAGTAACAGGCATAAAAATATCTCTTCTGCCTCAAGGAAGAGATCCATCTTCTCCCTCACGAGTTTTACCTTAAAATCCTCTCTATCTCTCTCTCTCTCAGAAAACTAACTTGATCGTCGGAGTGACGTCCCGGGAGAACACCCAGACGTCCTTTAACGATTCTTCTGTGTTGTGTTCTCAGGAAATCTTCCAGGACTGATCCATCATCCGACATCCAAATCCATGTAGAGCATGTCACAACACTAGCACTAATCCACTTAATTTAGATATACAAAATGTTGGTCCATATATTGTGAAGCCATTATTGAAAATTTAAGGCGATTTGATTATTAAATCTACGGGAAAAAACAAACACTGCATGTGGGTCTTCAAAACCAAGAATGACATTTGCTATTTGTTTTGCTTTGCATATCTTATTTAGGTGGCGTGTAAATGAGAGAACAAAATGGAGGGGTATTTATACTGTTGTCTTACCTGGCAACTAAATAGTTATTTGAAATTCGAATAATATGATAAATATAAGTTAGTATATGGTAGTTATCAAACCATATGATTAGATACATATCAAGTCTCTCGACTTTTTATTTCTAAATAAGCCATCTTACTATCGGTGAATTAATAAAGTAGTCCCTTATTTATTGTCCTTGTTTTTTAGATACTTGGATTGTACTTTGTGTATAACCCAATATGTCATTGTATCATCAACAATGCTAATAACTTGTTATGACAGCAGAGACATTCCAACAAAATCCCATTTACGCATGGTACAACAACTATATAATATCACTAAAAATGGTTTGTATCTTCAATTTAACATCATGATCAAGTCAACATAGGGTATGCCATCCATGACAAGTACTAAAATCAAAACCGGAAGATATGAAATAGTCCTATATGTAAGTGATTAAATATTTCATTATTCTTAATATCCATATGAATACCAGACATGAAATGATGTCAATATCAAAGTGTTCAATATTATGTTTCTTGATAGAGATTTGTGGTAACCACAAAACTAAATTGCACAATTGATCTAACATCACACAGTTTAATCATGGCCATGCATTTAGTGTTAGTGTCGATTAATCATGTGGCTCATTGATATATCTCTTACCTCGAGGTAAAAAGATCAAATAAGCTACTACATATACCTCACCCACTCATCATGTCACACGTGAACATTCATATATGGCTTCAATTTACGAACAATGTTAGAGAATGTTAAAACATATCAGACTATAAATCTTATGCATCTTCGCTTTTAGGACATAAGATATTACCATATTAGAATTACATGTGACATGATCCATAACGTAATCTCCAAGTGCGATTCATTTCAATACCTTATCTTTATCAAGTACATATAAAGTACATATGGGTGTAGTTGTATTACTATGCTATATCAATCTTTATGGATAATTAATTAACCCCTTATAATAGTCTTAATTCACTACTTCATCGTTATAAAGAACGACTAATTATGGAAGTTTTCAATCAACTAGTTTACATGGAAGTAAATAAACATATGAATGGAACATAAAAACGTACTAATGAAAATATATGCTCATGACGTACACTAAAATCTCAACATAATAATCATTACATAAGATTAGATATCAATTGAGCGCTCATTTTTTTAATAAGAACACAAATCCTAACCACGAAAAAGAATCATCTCAATCACTTTGGTAACTAGCATTAATGTAATCCTTTAAACTAAGCTTTTCACCTCCACCAAAACAAGAACATTTCTTTCGTTATTACTAAACACTTAAGGATTTTCTTGATCGCCACCTAATGATTTTTACCAAGACTAGCTTGATATCTACTTGTCATACCCAATGCACACATTACATCATGTTTCATACATATGATGACATACATGATCAATCCCACAACTGAAGTATACGAGACTAGACACATCTTATTTATCTCCTGAGTGAAACTAGCACTAGGACACTGAGCTATGCTCAATGTCAGTGGAATTAGGACACATCTTATCTAGCTCAATGGAACTATGACATCTTATCTAGATCTCATTCTTTCAGCCATGCGTCTTGAATCTCTTAAAGACTTTATCCATGTATGTTGTCTAGCTCAATGGATCTTCTAGATTGATATTTATAAATCTTGTAACCATATAATGAAAACCAAATGATATTTCCAAAAATTTAATTTATGAACTTTATTCGAAATTTACATTACATCTTCAGAATATATCATTTCCAAAGAACCTTTTTGTTAGCAAGCAAATTCAAAAAAATCATTTTCAAAAACCATAATAATATGCTGATATTTTCACAATAGGTAGTTACAATGTAAGATTATTATTATTATTAGTGTGGTTACTCAGGTTGTGCTAGAGGTGCACAAAGGAAATGAATTTCTTTTCTAACTAACACAAAACCGGACCTTTTTTTTTTTTTTTTTCTATAATCCGTTCACTCAAAACTGAACCATTAGTTTGATATAGGTTTTAGAAAAATTGCGAACAAGTTTTTTACCTAGTTTCCGTATTTTGTAACCAAACAGATTTTTAACTGAAAATAATCAATTTCTTTTAAATACAACCAAATCAGTTAGGTTTTAACCAAAAACCGAAATAAAAAATGTTGGTCAAAAACCTAAACCGGTTTTAACATGTGTTTGTGCACCTCTAGGTCATGCATTTTTGAATTATATATGTGGGCCGCAACCCGACCCAGTTTGAATGTTTGAGCCATAACCCAAGAAACACAGAATACGTCCTCAAACAAACTTGTGTAGGAGACTAGGAGCTACTTGTTCAGCAAGAACGCACGAATTCATACAAACGGACAGTGATCTACTAAATTTCTTCTAATTTGATACGCTAAGGTTTTCTAATCCGATGGAGCTGAATCTTGAAGAAGGCAAGCACCTCTACGATGAATGCTCAACGTTAATCCTGGTTTGTTCTATTCGTTTCCCGCCTAGGGTTCAACACTTTGTATTTGCTTGTCATTGTTGTTGTTTGTAACTTAAAAATCATAGAAGTTGAGGTTGCGTGTTATCCAATTTATGGCGTTAATTATCATTTTGGTGGATTGATTAATTTAGCCGGCGTTATCGATTGGAAACGTGGGGCAATTGGCGGTGGATCTTTTGATAGCTTCGACGAAAGCTGAGCGAATTGGTTACCTCGATGATCCAAACGTTCTTCCTTGTGTAGGAAATGATGCTTATACCCCTGCCCCTCAAGGCGACCTTGCTCTCCCTCTTGAAGGTTGTAGTTCAGTTTTTTTATCTGTTCATCTTTGCATCTGTTCATTTGCTGCTTCACATGTTTGACAAGATGTTATTCAATAGTGTACTTACTCTCTTATCATAAGTTTTACTTCTGCTGTGCAGCTTACGAGTCACCTTCTAATGCATTGACCCTAATCCAACAAAGATCACCAGTTGTTAAGGTAAGCTTTGCATCTTTATGCCATTGAGTTGTTTATATAAACTGTGTGTGTGTTTATCCATATAAGAAATTACTTTGTGGTTTTCATCAATGTACACACTTAGGTTTCAGTGAAGTGTGATAGCTTGTCATCTTCCTCTTTAGCCTATGGCTACACAACTTGTATTGAATAATGATTTTGATTTGCTGAAATAATTGTGTCCTGATTGGCTATCTAAACAGGGGATGATGGTTGAGTTTGCTAAAAATCTTGCTGATTTTGCTGTTGCTTGTGGAAAGAAGCATATTGTAATCCTCTCTAGCTTAGACTTTGGCAGATGGCAGACAATTGATATGTCAAGGTATTAAATGATTCAGTGTTTTAGCAAATAATTTAGTTACCCTAAGTGTAAGAAGAGCGAAACTTAGTTTCTATTTAATGACATTGTCACTATTTCAGTGGTTTGCAGATTTATTACCTCTCTAATGCAAAAGTAGATGGAGCAGATGATAACTGTGAAAAACTAGGGTTTAAAAGAATGAAGGAATATGATCCTACTCAAAAACTATGGAAGTATCTCAATGATTTAGCTGAAGGTAATGCTACTGAAGATGATATTTCATCTCTTGAAGATGATCTTGGAGAAGAAGACTACTATCCAAGTCTTCCTTTTGCTGCAATGTTTTCTTGTTTCAAAGTAATCCTCAAATACCATTTTGCTAATCAACCAATTCAGTTCATGATTTAAAAATGGTAATTTAATTGACAATTTTTTTATATTGTTTAGGCCAAAGGTTTGAAGGTGACCTGCTTGTTATGTTATTGCTCTGAAGGAGATAACATTTCTGATGCGTTTCATTTAGCAGAGGCAGCATGTAATCTTGTGGGACAAAGCCCTGAATCCTTTAAAGGTGATTTTTGATTTTTTTTTAATATTACATTTATTTACTTCTGGATATACATCAAAAAGTTGGTTCACATACTGTTTTTGGAAGGAGCATTGGAATCTGTCAAAGGAATTGGAATTAAGGAATCATAATCTGTCACACATTTGTTGGCAGGAAATGAAATGGAATTCAATTATAAAAATTTAGAGATGTTTTTTTTCTATATTTACATAGTTTTTGTTTATTGTAAATATATAATTGTTTTTTTTTTTAAACTAGGGTTACTTTCCAAAATGTTTTCAATTTGCCAACAAACGCATTTTATTTTTTTAAAAGGGTAACCAACTCATGTAACCAATTTTACACTTTTGGCCTAGATTTTAACTTTTGTTGCGAATTTGGTCCAAACATTAAGTTTTATTACGAATTCATCCCAAATTTAATTTTTCTACAACTTTTTAAAGACTTTTTTAGAATTTTTATAACTTTTTAAATACTTTTTTATAACATTTAAAAATACTTCCGTTAAAGATAAGTCGTATGACAGTGAAAAAGAAGTTCAAAAAAATGTAAAAGACGTTTAAAACTTTGTATTAAAAAATTGGAAAAAAAGTTTATAAACTCCCTAGTTAAAATGTATAAACAAGTTATAATTTTTTTAAAAACATTTACAAAATACTTTTGGTTAAAAGCAGGTGTATTAAAATTGTATGAAAGTAGAGAAAAATTCAAAAAGTTATAACCCAAGTTTAAAAAGTTGTATTAAAATTTGTAAAACACTTCGTAATGCATGGATGAGTTCTAAAAAAGCTTTTAAACAGTTGTAGAAAATTAAATTTGTAAGTTAAACTAAGAAAAAAATCATAAAAAAGGTTGTAAATTGTAAAGTTTTCTGAAAAGGTCTTAAAAAACTTATAGAAAAATAAATTTGTAAATAAAATTGAATTTTGGTATGAATTTGTAATAAAATTTGATATTTGGACCAAATTTGTAACAAAATTTAAAATATGGGCCAAAAGTGTAAAATTGGAAAGAGGTGATTTGTTCAATTTGAGTTATCAGGTAAACATACTGAAAACCTGAAGACATTTTGAAAAGTTTCTTTAAAAAATCCAGTGATTACCCTTTTAACTATTTCAGTAATATCATAAAAAGAAATAAGAATGAAATTGAACCCCTTCCACCCTCCCCTAGGAATTGTGAAATCCATCAAACATGGAATTGAATTCCATCCATTTGGCAACCAAACACGCCATGGAATGGAATCCAAATCTTTCATGTGTTCGGTTTGTTGGTAGGAAATAAAATGAATTAAATAATAAAGACATAACTATCATTCATAATTCTGTTTGTATGTAGAACTCGAAAGAATCCTATGAAACTGAATTCCATCTCTTTTGCAACCAAACCAAACAGAATGGAATCTCGAATTCCAATTCCGTTAACAAAACATGCCCTAAATTGATGCACTGATATGTTGTTGTTGTTGTTGTTTAGGAAATGAAGGTGGTAGATGGGTGATTCCATTTTCATGGCAGAGCGTTTATGGGCCACCTCCAGATATGTCACTCTTCTAGTCACCATGAACTTTGCTCATGTTATTATCTTAGCTGTAAGTAGGACCCAAATCTTTTGTTTTTGATTTTATGCTGTGACTATGTATGTGTCTTGTTTAATGAATACCGAATACAAAAATGGAAGAGAACATGTCAAATGACCCAATTAATTAGTTGCTTATGATAGGATGCCAGCTTGTTGTGATATACTATGATTTAAAAAAAAAAATTTTGAAATGCTAATGTCATAATTTTGATGAAATTGACGAGTATTTATGGATGTATTTATGTTGAGAGATTTCTCATCTAAAATGTTTGGATGTGCAATAAAGCTAGAGGTGGATCCGATAAGTTGGATGGGTAGGTTTACTTGAATAAAGCTCTTTTGTATAATTTTAGTGTATAAAACTGAATCCTATACCTTAATACTAGGTGGATGTCTATATGCTAAATTATGTAAAATATTAATAAATATACGTTTTAATTTTGTTTTATTGTTATTAACTATGAAAATAATAATTTTTATTTTATATTAAAAAGTTAATATAAAGCAGTGTTATTATCTTCAACAAGACAATATAAATTTGGAAAATAGTTGTAATATTAACTATAGAAAACTGCAAAAGTGGTCGTCGTAGTTTTCATTTTTTTTTTTTTTTTTAAATTAGGGTCCAAAAAAAGTTTCAACTTGTAAAAATGATTCTTATTTGAGTGTTTAGTCTCTAAAACTAACAATGGTTAAAATAAGTTGCATTGAACCTTATTCATTCTACAACCTAGGCCAAACTACGGTTAACATCAATCTAAGAACTTGATTCTGCATAACGACCTAAAAATAGTGACAGAAAAATAAGAAGAGGAACATGGGTATAACAACGAATTCTATGCCCCATTTGCAAGTACGTTACGTTGAGCTTCTTGAACTTTTACAAATTCATCAAATTGAATAGAAGCCTCAACCAGATTATAACTCTTGTAGATCTTTTATTTTGTTAGAATTGGTATCAGACCCATACTTGTTAAAGATGAATGATGTATTGATTTATTGCGGATGGTGGTTCATGTAATTGTGTTAAATTATGAAATTTAGGGGCAAGATGACCCGATAATAATATGTTATGTTCAACAATATTAGAATAAAATTATTGAAATATATGATTGATTGATTAACATACAAATGTTGTTCTAGTTTCACATGAACTGTTTTCTTCTACATACTCTAGCAGGAAAAATTAAATCATCTTCATGGAGGTCATAAAGGTAATTCCAAAGTATTTGAAAGAGAAAATTAGAAAAAAAAAATCACAAACTCTGTGGTGTAATTAAGATATATATATATATATATATATATATATATATATATATATATATATATATATATATATATATATATATATATATATCAATTTGATGAACGAGGTTGGTCGTGCTGGTGTCAATCATCATCACCGGAGAAGACCTCCGAGAAATATGCCCGAAAGAATGGGAGGGGTGGGTTGGCCGTTTGGCTAAGTCTAAACATTGGGATGGGTATAACTTAAATAATATAAAAAGAGAAATTGATAGATAAAATAAAATAAATAATAAAATGATCATTTTAATCAAAAACTAACACCTGTCAGTTTTATAGACCAAATATATAACGAAACCTTACATAAAAACCATTTCTGAAATCTATAATGAAACCCTTAAATAAAAATCATAGTACTTTACACCTTAGTAAAAAAATATACAAGAACCACTATTTGTAGTTTTATCTAGGGTTTAGGTTATTTTTAATCACTTAACTTTTGGTTTTGTGTTCATTTGATCACTTAATTCTTTTTAAGTTTTAAAAGGTCATCAAACTTTTGGCTTTGTGCTCATTTAGTCACTTAACTTTTGGTTTGGTCACATTTAGTCACCTAACTTTTAAAAATGTGTTCATTTAGTCACTAAACTTTTAAATTTTTTTAAAAAAGTTTAGTGACTAAATGAGCACAATTTTAAAAGTTAGGTGATTAAATGAGCATAAATCTAAAAGTTAAGTGACCAAACCAAAAGTTAAGTGACTAAATGAGCACAAAGTCAAAAGTTTGATGACCTTTTAAAACTTAAAAATAGTTAAGTGACCAAATGAACACAAAACAAAAAGTTAAGTAACCAAAAATGACCTAAACCCTTTTATTTATTTATAATTACTTAATGCTATTTATAAAATAAAACTTAAATGAATAAAGGTAAATTTTTTTTTAACCAAAACACATCTAACATAATAAATGAAAATCATTTTTGTCAATGTCATAATCTCATTGAATTTGCCACGTGTTATTTTCTATGATTTTTTGAATTATTTTTTTTCCCACTTGTCATTCTCTTGTGTTTTTCATTTTCTTAAATTCTAAATCCACATTTTACTAAGGGTTCATATATGTAAGGTGCATCATTCTATTAAATTTCAGAATAAATGTTTTATAGTCGTTTCTTTCCTTTCTGTTTCAAATCACTTATAGTTAAAGCTTAAATCAATGATATCACGCATATACATCCAGATGATATCACGTATAGACAGCCAATTAATATATTAAATATTATTTTTAATAAACTCGTATAATACACGAGTTTCATACTTAATGATCTCAATAAAATATACTTATAATTTGTGAGTATAATTTTCAGTTTAAATGTACTTTTAATTATTGTTACACTTAATTAGTTAAAAGAATTATTTGTCATTTCTTAATTTTGGTCATAATTATTTCTTTTTAAAAGCCCAACAATGGTTTTAAAGGTACTATACCTTTTTAGTTTTATACAAACTTTAGTTAAATACAATTTTTAATTATTCAATCAACTTAAAACTATTTCTTCAAATCATTTTTTAATTTTTTAATTTTTTTTAGTTTAATATCATATATAAATTAAAACTTAGATATATTACGTTGGAAATTAAAGATTTAACATTAAAATTAAAATAATGAAAAATTTGATGCATTAAGAAAATCAAATTATTATGGTTGAACATAAGTAATTATCTTGAACAAATGAGAATTTAATTTCTTTTAAAATACTTGATAAATGTCTAATATTGTACAAAATTTAAAATATTGATAAATATATGTTACTAAAAATAACTATATCATTTTTGTTATTTTTAAAATAATTTTTTATGCTATTTGGTTATAAAACATTGTAAATTTGTAAGTATATTAAATATAAGATAAAACATATATATATATATATATATATATATATATATATATATATATATTAATAAGTAATAAAATATCATTTTAATAGTATCTATCACAATCACAACCACAACTTATGCAACTTTAAATTTGAAATTATTAGGTATTTTAGGTTCAATGCTAGAGTTTAGGATGTTTAATTACATGGCAAAACGTATATCTAATATCACATATTGTAACGCCCCATTTCTGGTATGCGATTTAAAAAAAATAATTTTCTTTTTAAGGGGTACTCGACGAGTCAGTAGCCCGACTCGTCGAGTAGAGACGGGATTTGCACGCGATTTAAGTTGGCGACTCGACGAGTCCATATTCCCGGACTCGGCGAGTCTGCCAGTCTGGATGAAACCCTAATTTCAAGGGTTTGCACCCTATTTAAACATCTTATGTGCCCCAAGACCAGCCTCCCTCACCCACAAAGAGTCCCATACGAAACCCTAGCCGTTCTTAAGCATTTTTGGAGCATTTTCTCACTTGTGAAGGTTTTAGTGCATCTTGGGGATTTGGGGGAAGAAGAGAGAAGAGAAGTATTCAAGGGGAGCAAGTAGATTCGGACTTCTGGTTGCATTTCAGTCCCCTTTGAGGTATCAAGCTCGAATCTTTGCTTATTATCAATTAGATCTCTTGAGAAGTTTACTCTTGTTGATTTTGAGCCCTTTCTAGACTTTAAGGTCGAATTAAGAGTTAATATGTTGAATGGACTTCAGATCTAAGCTTTCCAGAGCTTCTTAAGCTCAAGGTTGCCACCTTTATTGAGCCAAGTTTCCATTCCAAGCTTAGATCTCTTCCTTTAGCTTATTTTGGGTATTTAAGCTTCATATTAGCATGCATGCACGTAAAGTTAGAAACTTTACGTGAAAAACCAGCCCTAGGAGCCCAGATCTATGAATGGAATGCACTGGATTCGAGCAGAATCGACTGTTTAGTAATGACATGCATGAGACTCGGCGAGTCGTTCTTCAGACTCGACGAGTCGAGTCGCGAGTCCCCGATTTTCCCCATCTGAGAATTTAAGGTGAAATCAGTGAGTAGGTAATGGACTCGGTGAGTTAAGGCTCAGATCTAGTAGTGGAGGGACTCGACGAGTTGTTCATACAACTCGGCGAGTCAAGAACTGATCTCATTCATAGGATGAAGGAGGAGTCGACGAGTTGTTCATACAACTCGGCGAGTCAGATGAAGATGAACTAGATGTTAGTATCGAAGAAGAACTCGTCGAGCCTTTGGCAAACTCGACGAGTTGAAGCGGGTAGAGGATTAGAAGGGATGATAGGGACTCGGCGAGTTGGCAGCCCAACTCGGCGAGTCCGGTCAACTGAAAGTTGACTTTGACCAGGATGTTGACTTTGACCAGGGGTAAAATAGTCATTTTACCCTGAGGTGAGTTTCCTTCCAGCCAACATTATGAGGTGAGTTTCCTTCCGGTGGGAACGGGTCTACAGCCACAATGTCGGCCCGTTTAGTTAGCAGTAGTTCCAGACTTCGGTCCGATGCAGTAGTTCAGTGTGCTTGATGTCTTTGTGATTCAAGCATGTCTTGTGTTATGTGTTCCAGGCTTCGGTCCGATGCAGTATGCAGTATCTATATTTATGCTAGTAGTTATGATTATGCTATGCTATGTTCAGTCAATTCCGGACTTCGGTCCGATGCAGAGGGCAAGGCCCTAGTTAGTTTCGGACTTCGGTCCGATGCAGAGGGCAAGGCCCTGGTTAGTTCCGGACATCGGTTCGATGCAGTTCCCAGACTTCGGTCCGATGCAGAGGGCAAGACCCTGGTAAGTTCCGGACTTTGGTCCGATGCAGTTTCCGGATTTCAGTCCGATGCAGTGGGCAAGGCCCAGTAGTTGCTTTATATGTTATTGTATGGTATGTGGTAGTTTGGGGGAGCTCACTAAGCTTTGTGCTTACAGTTTCAGTTTTTGGTTTCAGGTACTTCCGCTAGTAAGGGGAAGAGCTCGGGATGATGGCATCGCACACACCAC